GCACATGCAAATCTACAATGTGCCGTTCCGAGGGCCCCTCAAAAACTGAGCCCTGCGCTGTGCGGGACCCGTTTCTACCCGCCCGGGGCTGTCTCGACGTACGCCTCGTCTCATCAGCAACCTCACATCAGGCTATCGTCGACAGTCAACAGATCATCTTTGTCGGTCACGTTTTCATAGCTTGACCATTGGGAGACCTCGCGGTCCTGCAGAGCTCGCCAGCGTTCTAGTGAAGTTCTAGTGAAGGTGTTTTCGTATTGTACCAAAAGTTTACCGCCCATAACCCCGGATCCCGCTTGTCTCAGCATTCCTATGAAGCTCCCTGTCAAGCAGCAATGATAAATGCCACCACGTCGTCGCTAGGAGAGGAGAAAAAGGCAGGAAGAATAGAAAACCAGTGAAACGAGGGGTATGTAATGAGTCGCTCCTAAATCGACAGGGCTTGACAAAACAGAGAACGCCAGCGTAGCGATTCATGAAATCGGGCCTAGAGAGGGAACAACCCAGAAGAAAATAGCAAAAGCAAGATGAAAAGGAAACCACAGCCAGGTATACCAAGAAAGAAAAAAAAAAGAACAGAAACAGAAACAGCGACGCCCGAGGCTCCTCCTCACTTCTGATCCGGCTCGAAGCACGCCCATGCCTTGCACGGGTGCCATCAAGTCGAAAGTGAGAAGAGAGCCCATCTTTTGCCTCGCCTGACAGATCCTTCCCGTCCTTGCCTTTCCCATCTTTATGCTGATCCTTTTGTATGCGATGCCTCGGTACCCGTTGACCATGTGCCTCGCCCTGTGTCGCTGATACAATGCGTGAGAGAGTGTGGTGGAAGGGATCAACGAAAAAGTAGTGCATATCGAGCATGCAGCCGCTACGCCCCCCTTCCCCCCCCCCACGTGTCCGAAATTCGCCGAATCCGAGTCCCGCCTCGCTTTTTGTCTCTCCCATGTGTTCCCTGTCCGTCGTCCCCAAAGCGCAGCGCCTCGTCCAGTATCATTTCTCCTCGTTGGAGTATTAAGCTGGAATACAAAGGCCTCGTATGGGGACACACCCTTCCGTCCATCGACGGACAATTTGTTGTTTTGTGTTCAGACCCCGCGCCAAATCCTTTGCCAATCCTCCTCGCTTGCATGTGTATGGCCCCCTCGTGGAGGGGTTATCGTTTCCTTGCGGTGTTGCTTTCTTTGAGGGCGCTTGATCGTGAATACACACTCCTTGCTGCTGTCGAGACTGCCCACAAGTCGCACCAAGGCAGAGACCGCTTGCAGTAGCGCTAGAACCTGTCTGCGCCCGCTGTGTCCCTCTTCTTTAGAGATCCGGGGAGATCGTGAATTCCGGATTGAACCAATGACAAAAACTCGTTGCATGAAGAGAAACCCCAAGCTAGGGGGAAGGAAAAAAAGACAGCGAGAGAGAGACCCAAATCAATGTGTGCACCGGGTAATCGTGGAAGTGTGTCGGACTGCCGGGAACGTATATCCTCTCCTGAACGCCATAGTTGAGCCCTCTGCCAAATTGCAGACTCCTCCCGATGGCCAAATGTGTCGCCCACCGTCTTTGTTGAGTAGGGAAAATTGGTGCCAGGTCCACTGGATTCGAAACAACGCCTCGATATGACCATCTTTCCACAAATGGCTGTGGCCATGCCATAGCTGTTCAGACATGTAAGCCAACCGCCACCATGTTGGGCTGGTTTGTGAGTGACCGTCATGGCTTGGTCGCCCCCATGCTTTCCTACGCATCGCTTTCAGATAACTCCAATGCCGTCCGTTACCATGCTTCCAATCCACACCATGCTTGCCCAAAAGAAAAGAAAGAAAGAAAGCCAGAGTGGTTCCCACCGTTCACTACGGAGAATGCACTGGAATGAACCCTACTATCTGCCCAGCATGTGTGGGCTCATGTAGGGTGTGGAGCCATTCCCACCCATGTTCACATTCGGTCCGCCCGAGGCCATGGGTCCGCTGTACCCATTCCAAGGGTTATGAGACAGAGTGCCATTCGCCGAGAAGCCTGCGGGAGTGTAAGATTGACCGCCCGATGACCCTCCGTAACGGCCGGAACTGAGACCGGGCGGAACAGTGAGCCCTGGTGGGGGGCCGTTGGCTGTTGTGAATCCGTTGGGGGACCCTGCCATCATGGCGACCATGGAGTTGGCAGCACCCTGCCCAGATGTCTGGCCTGATCGGACGCCGAGAGGGTTCTTGGAGAAACTGAGTCGAATGCCACCCTTGACGCTGTTGTGAAGCGGCTGACCGTAAAGTTCATTCAGCGCCTTGGTTGCGAACGTGACGTCTTCGAACTCAACAAAACACATCGGGCCATTCTGCTTCGTGCGGAAACAGAGTCGCTTGTACCCACGCTGCTTAGAGAACATGGCCTTGAGCTCTTCCTCCGACGTGTCGATGGGGAGGTTGCCGACGTAAAGAGTATTGCAGGGGGGGTTCTGATCAGCTGGGTTCACAGGCGGAAAATTGCTGTGACGGCCGTACTGAGGGGCCACCATCGGATAGTGAAGGCCGTGTCCAGCTCCGCCATTCAGGCCAGTAGGCGACATGGATGCGTGGTGTCCCGACATGATCTGGTGACCATAGGGAGGCAGCGAGGAAGATCCGGGGCCAGAGCCGGAATTGAGCGACAGACTGGCCAGATGCGCAATCGGCAGCTGAGGTGCAGTGGCGCGTCGTTGAGACGTGACAGAACCATTTTCTGCGTATGCGACTGGGTCCTTCAGTAGCTCCCCTGTCTCGTCGTCATCGGCAGTATCATTGTTGATGAGGGTCTTGCCTGAGATTCGCGGCCTGTCGGTGAGATGGTTACCAATAGGGGACTGGGGCGAAAATAGGTTCTGATAGCGAGCGCTGTCCTCTGGGTTTGGTAGTTCACTCGATCCATACGCGCCGCTCATCGGTGGAGAAATCTTGCCGACATGCGGAAAAGAACCATTGTAGCGAGACGGTTGTCGCGAACCGTGGGCCGAGGATGCCGCAGACGACGAGCTCGCGCTTGAGGCGCTCGTGCCGTGTTCACCCCCATACGCTCGTGGTGTTCCCAAAATCTCCACGACCATGTTGCGCTTGCCGTGCAGCATCTTCTTCGCTTCGGAGGCGCCGGCAGGCGTTCTGAACGTCATGAGGGCCGATGCAGACTCGTCGTCATCGGACTCTTGCACAAGTTCTATCTTCTGAAACTCGTTGGACCACACCACCATGAGACGAAGCTGTTCCATGGCAATATCTTTGGGCAGGCGTCGGATGAGGACTGAAGTCGGGGGCCCGTCGGTCGGAGCGGTTGAATCGTTCTCGAAGGAGCGGTGCGCGGGGATGGTCAGCGGGAAAGGAGATTGTGCGCTGCTTGACGATCGCAGCGATTGCGACGGGTGTAGGTATGACTGGCGCAG